TGCTTACTAGCTTTTCATTTCACGCTTCAGTTTCTTTTTATACGACGAATTTCCCTTTGAAGTTGAATTGTATGCTCTATTATGTGGATAATACATATTTAAACTGCATGGAAATGTTTGTGGTAACCGACAAAAAGCGCTGAACATCTGTTTCGTTTTGTTTGAGACTTTTCGGTATCGCTTTCTTTATGTGTCCATCTCGGGACTCGAATCGTGAACAATCGGGTCGATATTTTAACCCCTTACCCCTGAGCTACACGGTCGACGGTTATCAACTTGTGCAAATGGATCAATCAATTTAGATGACGAACGTTTGGATTAATCCATAAAGATAAAGCTACACTCAGTTTCATCAGCAGTGCCTGGTGGCCGTGAAAAAACGAGTGGGCTAATTCATTTATTAGCCATCTAAATAAATATTAAATACTTTAATTGTTTCATGTACTTAAATTGTTAAAAATTTGTTAGGTATACAAGTGGCTTACTCAACCTCAACCCTGAAATAATCAAATGTGGACGCACAAATAATGTGAGATTGAGAGGAATTCAAAAACACAATCCAATCCAGTCTACATAATGGTTAAACTGACTTAAATGGACGTTTCCTGGAGGTGGATGTTTGGTGGCAAAGTGAGGAGTAGCGGACAATGTGAATGGTTGAGCTAGTGCAGCATTTGACACGCCAAAATGACTGTAGTCTTTGCACCATAAACAATGAAACGCACTTCCTTTCACCACTTTGGTAGCCATTCTTGTGGACTTGCCGAAAACTCGCGACTGGGTTGTCGTCATGGATTCCAGTTCATGTGATATACCCAATAAAGGGTTAACTGTAAGCCCATAACTAAGACGGGGACAGAATAGACTCTAATTCGCCAAATATACGATTAGGTAGACTGAATGTTTTCTTCCAGTTACTGACAACCCCTGGAGCAGGTTATCGAACAATTTATGGAGTCATAATTAACAACGGCAAGATATTTCTCATGTGGTAGTTGAGGATGTCCGAGGGAGTATGGCAACCGACAATTTTTGGCATACTGCTATTGTGATGGAAGGTGGTACAAAGAGGGCCGCGGCTAGCGATGGAATCAAGAATGGGCCCAACCAACTAGAGGCGCAGACGTAGCTGCTGGAAGTACTTCGAGACACAATGTTTACTACCACCGGAAATGAACGAATCGACTATTACAGCCCCACAGACAATTCTTAGCTAGCCAGAAAGATATACACCGAATTCCACTACGTCGGAGCTGTCGAGCAACGTATCTCTTGCCACGATCGGGCCAAATCAGCCGGAGTAGCACGCGGAAGAAGATGAAAACGTACGTGTCAAGTGCGGACCAAAACCAGGAGGAATTGACCAACACAAAGAGGCATGAATCATCCTGCCGCGTGGTTAAGAATTGAATGTATCTAATTGAACGCGTACACCGGTTGTTTTTGAATTGGATCAATAAACGTTTTCCCAGTCAGCTCACCTTTATGCTACACTATGACAGTGCACTCCGACGTATTGAATCCAATGTCATACTCTATCCACCCCGGATGAGCTGCATTGGTTACCACCAAGCCTTCGAGTTTTGCCGCTGTATTGCAGATTTTACTATCATCTACAAACATTACCACTTATGGTTCCAGCACCTCCGGTTGATCGTCGATAAAAGCCGTAAGAAAAAAAGGAACTAGCATAAATCCTTATCAGTTCCACAGAACGTTGTGAAAGAAACTATTAGGCACAACCAAATATGCTTCCCCGGATTCCATAACTGTGAAATTTATGCGACAGTCCTTCAGAGTTAGATAGTTTTTTACAAATCCAGGTACTTAACATCCACTGTTTCCTCTTGGTTAACTGCTGCTGCACATTACTCACGGGCCAGGAGAAAACTGGCTGTTGCACAATCGCTTTCGCAAGACACCACGTACGGTTGATCGGAACAATTTACGTTTTCCCAAATGACCCAGTACAAAGTTTACAACGTGACAGAGAAGTACATGTCTAATCGAAACTGAAGCAACGGGTCCCTGTGAAGCACTCGTCGGTTCGTATAGGCAACGGTATCTATACTGAAGTAATTTTTTCCCCAAATAATAACGAACAAGCCTTAATGAGTCTTTCTAGCCGTGATTTTCCGGATTCGTTTATACTCAGCAGATGGAATGGTTTAGAATGTAACGGATACTCCCATTTCGTCAGTAGTGGTTGAGCTAGACGGCGATGAGTGAAGAGCTAACTGAAGAGAATGGAACAGTTTTGATTTTCAACAAATTGTCAGGGATAATAATTAAGATGTAAAGTTTGTATACACTAATAGTCTATTAGTCGATTTAAGACTTTGTCGAGTCTCTTTGGCATCGAATCCACCAACTTTGTCATGAAGTCATCACAATCGGCCAGTACTGTAGTTATCCAGGTCACCGCAACAACCATCGTTCTATCTAGATCAAATCACTCAGTTTCCATAACTGCGGAACGGTTCACTCAAAGGGTTCAGTTGTGTGATTTGTCACAAATTGATAGGGGCTTGTGGATGAGTGTTAGCTATCTAATGTGATGAATTGCTTTCCTAGGGCATTATTTTGGGTCTAATCATTTCTAGAGAGAAAACAATTTTGGTTCGCGTTGTATTCGAAATGTTATCTAGCGACTGAGGTCACCGTAGCCTGGTGTTACTCGAGATGTTACAAACATCCGGGTATGTTGACGTATCAGGCGTATCAGTTGACTTTTTTGATACACTTCCGATCAAACTTTGTGTCCAGGCTCAAGATTTCCCCAAGCCTACAAAGTCTGATACAATGAGAAAGTTGATCACTCGCCGCAAATCAGCATGAGTGCCGTGTGGGTGTGTTCTTATGACTCAAACGGGATTACGGACATAATTAGATCTATTTGTTTTTCACATCAGTACATAGCAGAAGAAAGTTTATGGATGATCGATTTTTCTTTTCTTTCTATTTCCTTGTTTGTGCAAACGTTTTTTGAGAATTTTCTCTGACTGAGATATTTTTTGGCTAACCGAAAACGTCCCCTGTCAAAGGGATCCAGAGATAATCGATCGGACAGCGGTTTACAAGAGTTGAATAATTTCACATCCCCTCCCACCGCCAAAGACTGATAGTAAAGCGTTGTACCTTTGAAACCGTGTTCACTACTCGAAATTATGTGTAAGCGTTCGATTTATGCACTACGATCCGAACCGTCTTTGACAAGTTGTACAAGCAAGGATGAAATTTCATTGGTTCACCTAATTTATATTTTTTGTCTACTTCTGTGTAAAATTGAGCATTTTGTTCTTCTCACTTTGTACAGTCACCTGATTTCCGGTACACTCGCAATGAGGAGTCAAGGTTAAATTAAATAACGTATTTGTTTCTGCCCAATCATGAGTATCATTCAAACGGGTAAATTTGTCACCCAACTGTATAACTCTATTTATGATGAGATTCGGAGTTTCGACAGATCACAGATGCTAGTAGTGCTTTAGAAAGCGGTGAAATCTTCTGACAAAAATTGAGACAGATTCATTCCACTTTAAGCGCACGAGTACAAACTATCTTCAGCTCAATACTGTCCGTACACTTCTGTTTTGTTCAACACAAATAGCTCCATCTTCAAGTCGACAACTCTGATCATTTAAAAGGTTTATGTGGTAATCCTAGCCTACGATATGACGCATACTACGAAACGACACGTTACAGTGTTCGGACAAGTATGATTAGTCAAGCTGCCCGGGTAACATCAGCAAAGCGCGTACATGTCACAGTTTGTGCACTACAGACCACTGGTCGATTGTACCAGCCAATCAGAAAGCGTGCGGTTCAGACAGAAGCTGGCGCACGATTGGTAGAGGCTTGGATGGTTAATGAACTTGTTTTGTACATATTATTCATACCCCATGATTTCTTTCAATAAACGAACTGCTTTTCCTGTGGCCTGTTCCTCGAGTCTCAGTTCCGTGGGATACTATCGGACAAGTACCAGTGTGTTCCAGTACAGACACTGCGTCCGTGATTGCATAGTCCGCGGTTTCTTATTCCTGATTCGTACTTCGTGATCAGTGCGTACTACCAATACTACAATTACCACAGTTTACTAACTCACCGGATTACATTCTAAGTGAAAAGTATTATAAAACAAAAAAAATTACTGTCCACTATAACCAATGAGATCACATAATGATTTTGATCGTGATATTCCCCTTTTTCTCCACCAACTAGGTTAACTATCTCGATGCGTGAAATCAGTGATACACAGTAATTCCTTTAGGTGACTTTCTTGTGTTTTACAGCAAACATTGTCAACGAATCCTTCTTCCACGCTACTCCTCCCCCCCCCCCGTNGATTGATTGATTGATTGATTGATTGATTGATTGATTGATTGATTGATTGATTGATTGATTGATTGATTGATTGATTGATTGATTGATATATCACAAATACGTTACTAATCATAATCTATGATAGTAGTGTCTTACCAAATGCGATAAGGTTGACTGAATCATCTGTTTTTCAGTTGGATTATCAATTATACTAAAAAGAATTGATGTTCCTGTTCGTTTTTGTGGAATGTGCTTCCCTGTATACAAATGAAATGATTGCGCAGTTCGATAATTTACACTATTTGTCGTTCAACTGGTCATTTGAACTAATCACCGTCAATGCATTCCAATTCACCTGTGTCTGATGCAATTCCTAACGGCTTATGCTCAGAAAATACCCCACCTCCATCCTCACTTTTCAAGGTAGTAAGGAGACAAAACTGTGAGCAGGGTGGAACATCTCGAGTACCGAAAAATGGTCACTGACCGACCTGGGTTCATGCCTGAACGAAGTAAATGGTTATCATACTTCGTTCGCCATATACATGTCGGTCACAGGCTTAGGTGAAATGATCCCTGGGCAATTCCCGCGAAGGATCGAACACATACAAAGATATCTAGTCATCACATAGACCTGCGATTTTCCACAAGAACTACCTATCCCCAGGTCATTCTTAATCACCGTTTACAGTTGTTTTTTCAATAATCAATGCAGCCGAAAAGCCATAAACTAACGGTATCAACGGGATCAATGGCGGCTTTGTACAATCACCAAAATAGGCGCGGGAGGGCAGGTAAGAACCACGAAATGTACGAATGTGGTGATCTGTAATTGAGAACAAGTTATGCAGCGCAGGTAAATCAAATTAAATAGTCGAAAAATCTAACCTGAGTGACTTGATTATCAATAGGTGAGATAAGAATATCTAAACCTCATTGAATTGATCACGTGATCAAACTTCCATTCCATTAACTCATCCTCATTTTGTACTACAAAGTCAACTGTCAGTTTATTAGCCCGATTCTTTACATGCAAACGGTATGGCTGCAACCGGGCAGTTATCTTTCACTCTGCCGGCTTGTTGTACTTCCTCTCGACGAATAGAGAACAACTGTGATCTAAAACTTTCACGAAGTCCAGGACACCAAATTCTCAGTTATTGCGTAAACTCTAGGACTTAGTAATAGGTTATAAATATATATATATATTCACAATAGCTTAAAGAGCAAAAAATGGACCATCATCGAGTTTGAGTTTACAAAGCACTCACGTGCCGAAATTCCGACCCACAACACAATGCCATGTCGGACCGTATTTGCGATCAAACTCCNTGCAATATCTTTCTCCATCTGGGATCGATTCATAGCCATGGCACACAGATCCACTGCTTCCTGTTGCATATCCTCCTCCATATCCACACACTTGACAATCGCCTTCAATTCGTTCATCGTGTTACCTCTTTTCGGAGGATCCGCGCGTGCACCAAGTCTGTGATATGACGGTGGCTCGTCTGAGAACCGCTACCGGGTTTCATTTACCCAGCTCGTGCTCGCTCGCACGCACACACACACACACACACACACACAAACGATAGCACAGCACAGACAATCGATTACGAACGCAAATGGACAGAGGCCAGGCACAGAAATGGACGTTTGGCAGCTCGCAAACACGTATACACACACACACACCTGCAAGCACAAACGGACAAACGATCATACGTGGTGCCTGCTCGGAGAAATCGGTATCTCAGTTGCATAATAAAGTGGACAGCAACGGTTCGGATGAGAAACAAAATCCAAGAAGCAGTTCGATACATTTTTCTCATACGCACACACACACCCATGGGACGCACATACGTACGCACACACATACACGCACACACACAAACGCAGAGAACCACGCATCGCACACCGAGCTCGAGCGAGCACGAGCGACGAAGTCTGAACGGAAGAGAAAACTCGTTTCATATTCGGTTCCGCGTGAATTACTCATTTTCGTGATCGAACACCAAACGTGTGCATGTGTGTGTGTGTGCTCGTGTCATATCTGTTTGAAGGGCTGTGAGTTTATCTATGCAAGCACCCGACAAACGAGTGTATAGTTTATTGGCAACCAGCTCGGGGTACAGCATCATCAAATTTGTTCACCCAACCAGCTGCTGTTCGGCCATATCGTAAACGAGGTCGTCTGCGGTGTGTGTGTGTGTGTGTGTGATGGAGTCCGACAGGCCGCTACACATCTTCCACCGGGCTCCACTATACCGGGAATCAAGATAAACCATGTGAGATGGTGAAACCGAACGAGAGACAGTGTGAGAGAGAGAGAGAGAGACAAATATTGATTCGGTCTTGTTGAATCACCCACACGCTATGTTCGATTGTCCAGCCGTTTCACACTCAACTAGGTGAGACAAAGGAGCAAATAGAAGTCATATGTGGCTTAGAAATGATTTTGTGGTAAAACGGCACAACATAAATCTGTCGTTGAGTGAGCATTTTGTATCGTAGATGCCAAAATTTCATCATGGTATGAATTGCATCTTATTTCCATCCACTAAGTTGTTGTGAGTTATAGAGGGTAGTTTATAATCCAAATTCTGCAAAACATTAGAAAACCACAGTTTCTTACAATAAAACTCTGCTTATTTTATACATGAATTCACCTCATGTCTCATGCTGAGAGAAAGCCCACTCCAATCACTCTAACGTTCACAGCCCATGTGATTCCCACACGGCTGAATGAGTCCGTTGTCATCCCGTCATCCCAGGGTTAAACCCATGGTTTAAATGCCAGCTTGTTTCTTCTCCCACTGCTCTTCTTTCGTTGTTTCTGATGCAATTCTTCCCGGTAGGTTCAACCTGGTGTTGATTTGGTTTTCTAGTTTTACGGTGTGGTCAGTGCCAGTACGGGGATAGGGGTTTCTGTCTTGAATTAGTTTTTTTTTAACTGTCGTCAGTTTTATATTGTTTGGTTATCTTTGTCTATTTTCAATGGGATTTTTGCTGCGACAATTCAAGTCATTTTACGCTTTACTCACGTGATATTGCTGTTTGAGCGACTTATTCGCGAGCTCATCAGTAGTGCATATCGACCAGTCCAGTCTGGGATTTGAACTCGGGATCTATTTCACGGAAAGCCTCTTCCATGCAGTGGTTCCGGAGTTGAAACCCCAGACGGACGGTGAATATGCACTATTGATGAGCTCTAATAAAAAAGCGAACGTCGCATCTACACTGCTTCCGAGTTTATGGTTGACTGGAAAAACTGAGGAATATGCGTGAAGATGAGGTCTGACGAGTGGTTGGTTCAAAAGAATATCAAGTTTCTTGACTATTGGTCATAACGTTAACTTTTTGTGATAACCGACTCAGGAAAGAAACGAACATAGGCTGCTTGGCTTTTTCACCTGGAATTTTTAGCTGAAAGCGTGAAACTTACGTGGATTGCACAGAAGACCGCAAAAATGTTACCCGTCACGTGCCTAATGGCAACCACATTTACGAATTGTATCACATGATTTTCTTTTCATTGAGACAGATCATACTCAATCCGGTTAGGAATTACAAAGAATAGAACTATTTTTACACTCGATTGAACATATTACGTGGCCTCATTCATTAGAGCTATTGACATGTTTATATCTAAGCGGAACCAATGGAAGCTAATTTTACTACGATCTCTGAAAAGCATACAACACCTCATGACGTATTTGAAATGGCATTTGTTCCGTCATAGCCTTGAATAGAGAAGTAAATAATGTGGTTTTTATATGAAGTGTTTTCCAGTGCCTGAGTGAATTTGACGCTTATCGTGTTCGGAAGCCACAACGGAATAGGATCAGCCATGTGATTGCGTAAGTGGCTCTCAATTCTGTCGGAGTGTAGATGGGTGTCGGAAAACAGTGGTATTTTGTGGTTGGTATGTATATATGGATGGTTAGGGAAAAAGATCCATGATTTGATCGAAATTTCACTGTTACTGATTGCTAAGATCAAACGCTTCTCAACTGTCACTTGTGGATGGTGGTTGAAGCAGTTCCAGCTTTTACGGTACAGTTTCCAACAGTCACACATGAGAACGCTTTGAGACGAACACACACACACACATTCCCTCTCTGGGGAGATCCGGATTTTGTACAAGCTAATATTTTCAGTCCCGCAAAATATATCTGTGTAAAATACCACCGCACTATCCTGATATTTTGGGGAATGGGACAGCTGGTGGTTCGTTGGATCTCTGTGATAATCGGTATTCGGTGACGAAATTCGAATCGCAATAAATCCGCGCAGTCAAGCTCCAACCGAACTAGTACGCAGTATGAAATAAATCACCGAAATATTCAAAGTCAATTTATATTACTCGCCGTAATTGTACAAAGGCAATCAATCAATAATGTTCAGTTCGTACACAACCACCCTAATCTCGTAGGTTTGTGAAAGACAAATTATACGCTGTTTTAGCCATCTCGTGCTACCTACGATAACCAAACAAAAGTTGTTGTTATTGTTGTGTTCTCCGAGCTGGAAGTGTTGTTCGCAGACGTTTCGTAGCCATGTGAGACAAAATCATCAGTGTAACTTCGAGGAAGCGCCGGTCCTCAGTGTCACCGCGCTTATATAGTTCTATTCGAGGGTTTTGATTGACAATTTGCGTCCCTTAAATCCTATTGATCTGTTATGACTGAGATTGGTGATCCCATCGAGGTTCCTTGTATCTGTTCTTATAGCTGCTCGTTGAATTGGAAATACGCAGAAAGACAGATTCACTGGTAACCCAAAACTGTCTCCGCTAAAACCGACCCAGAACCAGTTTTAACCTGTTTGATCAAACCGGTTTACGATTGGTCCAAGAAAGCCAATCAAACATGAGGAAAGAGGAGCGTTACCATGACAACGATGCGGCCAATCAAATCTCACCAATTGGTCACAACTGATCAGTAGAATTTAAGGGACTCAAATGGGCAATCACAACCCTTGAAAAGAACTATATAAGCGCGGTCATACCGAGGACCTGCGTTGTCTCGAAGTTACACTGATGATTTTACCTCGCACGGCTACGAAACGTCTGCGAACAACACTT